CTAGGGACGGGCCGGGGGCCGGCGGTGCTGGCCCGGGGGTGCTCGGCTGGGGGCTGGCCCGGGGCCGGCACCCCAGGGCCCGAGCCGAGCCAGGCTGGAGGGGCCGGGGCCGGCCGCCGGAGGGGACCAGACTGGGCCGCGCCTCCTCCCTCCCCCCCCGCTTACCTGCTGCCTGCTTCAGGCTTCCCGCGAATCAAATGTTCGCGGGAAGCAGGGGAGGGGGCGGAGACTTTGGGGGAGGGGGCGGAGTTGGGGCGGGGGCGGGGCGGGGCTGGGGGCGGGGCCCCGTGGAGTGTCCTCTTTTTGGACACTCCAAATATGGTAACCCTACGTTTGGGGACGTTGGAGCTCAAAGAAGGCACAATCAAGATTGCAGGGTGGGATTGGTGTGTACCATAACCCTGTATTTAAGAGATTTAAGCACAGGTGCAATTTGACATTCTGGAAGGGTACAAGGCACTACAGGCCAACCTTAAATCTGAATTTACGAAGTTTTTAGCCAGTGAACTTCCCTTGTTTTTTGAATAAGTGGACATAGTGCGGGGCTCATGGTTGCAGGGCACCTGTGGTGGGGGAGTACAAAGGCTTCCTGGGAACACCTCACTGCCACTCAACTACCAGTTCTGCTCTCCTCCTGGCCCCTTTGTAACCCCGGTAGGATTGGAGGGACTTGGAGGAAGGAAGAGGGGGGCAGTGAGGAGCATACATATCACCTGCAATCAGCAAAAGGGAGTGGAATGAAGCCCCAAACTTTGTACTCCGATTTGGGGGGCTAGGTTAGAATGAGGGGTCTACGCACAAAACTCTTCAACACAGGAGTATTGCAAAAGTGTTAAGATGCTCATTAATCTCAATGGGATGTTCTCAGATGAATGAGACCAGATGAAGATGAATACGGTCCGATACAATAGCTCTGAGAGGGGTTAACTGATGATTTCATCTCAATGAGCGTTCTCCTCCCCGATCTACCCTAGATTCTGTTGTGGAATACCAATTTTCAAGGCAACAACACTATGCAAGTGGGTTTTAAAGAAATTTGAATAATAAAGTGAACTCCTTATTGGGGGAGTTGAGGCAGAGCTTATCCGAGGAACCCTTTCCCCAAATGACTCCAAATTCACAGCCAGTAGTATATACCCTTGGCCTTAATATGGCACGGCAATATTATGATAGTTCAGTAGTACCACCATAGGTATGGTTGCACCAGGATTTCCTTTTTAACAGGGGTAAAAAAAAATCCTACAAACATTCTCTTTTGCGTTAGAATATCATTTAAAAATATTTATTGTAGTTTGTGCATTGCTTGATTTTTCTATAGTAGTTTATATTATTTGCGGTTTGTTCTGACTATTTTAAGAAGGGCCAAGCAACTGAATTTTTTTTAATGGCTTACATTTTCTTCAAATCCCTTTGTAATTTTTTCCCCCTGTGGTTATTTACCTTACTTACAGTAACTGCGGTTCTTCGAGATGTGGTCCAACATAATCCTCTCAGTGAATCTTTTGGCCAGCAGCTTCCATTGGCCTATGCTTACACCCTGTGTGTTCTTGCCCCCACTCCCAAGGGCATAAAAGGACAGAGCAGGGCCAACTGCCTTTTACTTCCTTTGCCAAAACAGAATCCAGGTGTTAAAGGATTCCGTACCAGCAGGGAAGGAGGGCGGGTCACAGAATACATATGGACAACACAACTCAAAAAGAACCACAGTTATGCAAGATATCTTTTTTCTTCTTCGAGTGCTTGTCCACACACACACACACACACACACACACACACACACACACACACACAGTCTCCACTCCTGGTGACTTTCGAGCAGTAACCTGATGCTAAGAATTGAATGCTCAGAGTCTATTTGAATAGTGATTGTAACACAGCTCTGCCAAAATGGGCAGCTGCTCTATATGTCTTTACAGGGCAACAGTGTTTAGGGAATGCATGCATAGAACTCCAAGTGGCTGCTCCACGAATTTCAGAAATGAGGACACTTCTGAAAGAAGCGGCAAGAGCCCTTGTGGAGTGAGCTGTAACTTGACCAATAGACTCTAATCTAGCTAACTGGTAACATTTTATAAAATCTGATATCCATTTAGATAATTTTTGGATTATACAGCCTGTCCTGTAATCCCTTCTGCAAAGGCAATAAACAATTTAGATGAGATCCTGAAGGCTTTAGTTCTAGATAAATAGAGAGTGCTCTTAACACATTCAGAGAGTGTAGCTTCACTTTACTGTCACTAGAGTGAAAGAAAAACATGTAAGCGAACAGTTTTGGAGGTCTCAGAGAAACTTTGTCCTTGTGAAAAACAGTGGGCCTGCCATGAATGCTTAAAATTCTCCTGTGAGCCAATGTAATCACTACTAAGAATTCAAAAGCCAACCCCTCTCTATCCAGTCTCAGCCCCAAAATCAACCCAGCTAAAACCACATTAAGGTCCCAGGAGGAAGGAGATTCACATATATTGGAGAGAACACATGCATTAAGCCCTCGAGGACCCTAGTCACTTTAAGGTGTGATGATCTAGCGTAATCCTGTATTGGCGGATGCTGAGCTTTCATATTTGCTAGGTGAACTCTTACAGAGCTAACAGAGTCCTAATCTCTTTAATGAGAGGAGATAATCCAAAATTGTAGGAATATCAGAGACTGTGAGGGAGAGGTGATGCTGCTCTGCTCAAATAGTGATTTTTTCCCCCACCTGGCAATGTAAACCAATCTATTGTAAATCAAAATGGATCAAGATTTCTCCATGTTGGTTAACCAGCCAGCATCCAGGCTGAGTTGGTGTGGACAAAGGATGAAGAAGTTACTCACCTTGTGCACTAACAATGGTTCTTTGAGATGTGTGTCCCTAAGCGTGCTTCACTGTAGGTGTGCTTGCATGCCTGCGCTGATGATCAGAGAACTTCAGTAGCAGTGTCCATTAGGCCCACACACACGCTGTCTCCCCTCACGCCCTACCACAAGGCTACTCAGCACACATGGGCTAACCCCCCTCAGTTCCTTCTCAACCGTTCCTGGCTAGAAACAGAGCTATTCACAGTCCATGAGGACCATTACTTTCAATTTGCATCTCTATAGTTAGTCTCCTGGTTCTTAGTTGTAGTTCTAATTTTTCCCTTTTTCTTATCTTTTCTCCCTAAAAATAAAAAATAAAAAAAGACTTTTTCCCCCACTCCTTTTTTCCTTCTCTTCCCCCACGGGGATGTGCCCAGGTCACCGGGCTTCAAGAAGTGCCTCTCTTGCAAAGAAACGATCCCTGTCACAGACAAGCACTCCCAGTGCATTCACTGCTTTGGGAAAGGACACATTCAACAAAAGCGTGGTCTCTGCCACCAACTCAGGCCCCGGTCTCATAAGGACAGATTGCTCAGACAGATGATTATCTTCATGGAACTGGCTCTCCGGACCCACACCACGAGTTACCTAGCAGATGTGAGACTTCCCCTCAGGCCTCAACATCTAAATGCTGTGGGTTGAATAAACAAGCCATTGACTCCTCTCACAAATAGTTGAAAAAGAGAGTGGAAAGTCCTTACAGTGAACCCTGAGATAGCCGCAAATGCTCTCTGGCACACTCGGTGCCGACGGCACCAAGACCTTCTCAGACCAGTACCCATGGCTCATGAAAGTCCTCAGTGGCAGGCACCATTGACAAGCCCATGGTCCCGATGGGCACAAGCACTGAGTCAATGGCACCAAGGGACAAGGACATGAGTAAGCACTCCTCTAAAAAGACGTTGCTGGTACGTGATCCTACATTGATACTGTCATCAACACCTCATTAGGCACCAAAGCGACCAGTATGGACAAGATCTCCATCCCTCCCGGTACCGCCAATGGCACCAAGTCAGTCGGTAATACTGGAATTCTAACACTCTAGGGACCTCTGTGTATCAGATGTACTGGAGCCTCCTCAGTGCCAAGACCTTCACGAGTTTTCGCCTGGCTCAGAAGTCTTCTGGACTGCCCCCTCATGTTCCTCCGCTCTCTAGTGAGGGCTCAGATTGCGAACCTGAGGAGGTGGCATCAC